CCAGAAGATGCTCGTACTTTTCCAGACCGCAGCTTCCCTGCTCCTTCTCTTTAGTGACTAGTTAAATTACAAATGAAATGGAAATGCCATTGTCTAACTGAATTCACTTACTACGGGGGGTGGAAAAACTCCATCCCAGGACTTCCAGGGGTGGGTTTCGAGGGACTGAAGGCAGGTTTCCCGGCACCCAAGTGCCATGGGGCGGTAGTGTCTGGCCCGGGGATTTGCGAAGCGGTTGTGAGACCATGTCCAAGGCACCGAGCGTGTGCTGCGTGCTTCACGGGTGGTGTCAAGGCAGTACAGCCTGTTGGGCGATGAGGGTGGTTTGTGAGACCGTCTCCTTCGCACAGACTCCTTAGCGGCAGCAGCCCCCGGCCCTTCCCAAGTCGCAGCTCTCGGGGGACGTGGCGGAGCTTGCGGGAGCCGCTCCGTGAGTGAGACGACCGCCTCGCTCTGTCTTCCTGTAAAACGGGCTCTTCTCGTCGGTGCGCTGGAGCAGCAGCTGCCGCCTTGCAGAGCCGCTTGCGGAGACCAGAGTCTCCCCAAGTGCATTTCGAGTTGGGCGTGCGTGATCCTGGCCACGTGCCCCGTCGACTAGGAGGTGCTGAGACCAGGGAGGAGGCTCTCGAAGCCTTGCTGGGCCTCTGCAAGGAGCTTCCTCTTCAGGCACGGCCTCCGGCTCGGGGTCTGGGGAAAGTGTGCTTGGCTGCAAGAGGCACGAGGCTCCGTCAGCCGGACTGAGACTGCCCAGAATACCTCTGGAAATGCAGCCAAGGCGTGGCCGTCACACAGGGATCTACGTGGCCGTGGTGGGTGGCTCGAAGGCGAGTTGTCACTGAGCCTTGGGGGGACAAGTGGAACAAACGAACCCTGGGGTGTTTTCCGGGCACAAAATACCTCCAGCTTTACGTGAGAAATGGTGAATGAGAAGGTCTGGCTGCACGTAGGGCAGAAGGGTGCTAGCCAGCCCCGTCTGGGTGCAGCAAGTGACTGCCGTGACCTCGGGATATTATAGCTAATAAATGGGAAAAGAAACCAGTGCCTTAACATCACCTCGGCGTCACAGAACGTGAGAGGCGGGAAGGGGGATGAGCCCCTTCCCCTGCGAGATCTGTAACCTCGCTCTTTCAGCGCGCCAGAGGGAAGGCGGGCGGGAGAGCGCTGCCTCGGGTCTTTGCAGGCCTTGCTCTGCGGGCTCAGAGCAGTCAGTGGGGCACTGCAGATGTGAGCAGCTGGAGAGCGAGGGCCAGTGTCTAGGTGCAAGCGCTTGGGGGAGAGGCAAGGCCCTTTGGTGCATCTCCTTTTGCTTGGGGAGGCGAGCTGTGTTGAATGGATCAAATCACTGGTAGCTCAGCCCTGATAAAGGCCAGTTCCTGGTGTTTCAGAGGCAGATGCAAAACCCGACGGCAGTGCACCTAGCAGCTAGACCCGACCAGCCCCGTGGTTGAATCGTACTGAGAAGCCTGCGATAACGATTCCCCTGATCGTAGCGAGCAGAGCGGTTATCAAAAGCACTGGGGGGGAAGGGGCTGCAAGCCAGCTCCTTGCTCCTGGGGGAGGTCCGCGCGGATGCTCAGGACCCCTCCCGTGCAGGGAGCGTGCCGGGGCGAGCAGGAGAAGGAAGGGCCCTGGCATGGACACGAGGTGGGACGGGGCGCTCCTTTGTTCCTGTATCGCTGCGCTCCTGCCGCAGCCCCTTGGGC